TGTTAGAAGCCTTACCAATATGTATAGGGAACAAGGTCAATTGTTTTTCAATTAGTTTCGCACAACTTAGTCTTTGATCCAAGAGTTTTCATTTGTCTTCGCGTTGATTGTATTTCCGTCTCTTACACCTGTGAATCATGCCCAAGCTTTGATGTTTTTATTTTTATTTTGTTGAAACTAACCTGTGTGGTTAAATGACTCGAATAAACTGACCCAGGATGCTTACTGAATTTATCATTATTTAATGATTACTTATCATAAATTAGGTGGACCAGAACACTGATAAAAGTTTAAGAAAGCCTGGTGCAGTGTGTTAACATGATTCCATCCATAACCCTGAAGCCATCTATGTTTTTGCTAGAGCTTTGACGTTTTCACGTGACCACATCAAGGAGCATCGTGACTGGTCAGAAGGAGAAATTCACACATTACTTAAACCACAGAGTACAACGCTTAGAACTAGAGACGACATCAGAGTGGTTTGAAAATTCCGTTCTGAAGTTTAACAGTATTCTTAAGTTGCAACCACTTGTACCGGCCAAATCCATCGATCACAAACAATTCAAATTTTCGGCTAACCGTGAACGCATTGCATCTGAGTAAGGGATTCTAAACTAGACCAGACTTCAGTCAACTGGAAAAGGTTGGGAAGTCATCGTTTCAGAAGAGTTTGGCAAACAATCGGTAGTTTTTTATTTGGGCAACGTTTCGCTTTTGACACAAAACCTTCATCAGATCAAGTGAGCAGGTCACCAAATTGGCCAGGTTATAAGGCATACGGGAAACCAATCAATAAGTCCTCTTCACGTTACCACACTGGATCAGCGTTGAGTGTGGTTGTCAAAATCTTGCTTTGGTGGGTTTGGGGAGTTCCAAATTAATTCTCATCGGGTTCGGTTCGTTAATCTTCCACTCCAGGGTGCTCCACTTGATGATTCACCCCGGGTGCCACTGGTAGATTTCCTTGGTCTTTGTGGGATTGTGAGTGGTCCGACAATTTAGTTTAAGGGGGGATGAGGTCAAATGAAATTCAAATGATGACTACTCTTCCTTCTCATGACCGCACATCAACATGTGTTAGCTCGACTGATCCAAAACCGTTCTTCACACGCTTGCCATTTTCACACCTATTCTGTTAAGAGTGGGATACTTGGCGATTTCTACCGCCTCGGCTATCAGTCTCTGTGAGGTGGACCATAGTCCTCGCCTCAAAACCTCGGCGTTTTCTAAATTTACTTTGTATCCCGTGTCCAGCGCATGTTCCGCAATTGCCGAGTCTTTCAGTAACGCTTGATGGTCATCCGCGTTTCTCGGAGGTCTGTTTATTTTTATACCATGCTCTCTGATGCTGGTGTGAAGTTCCCTGACCGTCGGTCCTTAGGGCAGTCGTTACAATTACTTTTGTAGACAGCCCCTGGTTCTGTTTGCCGAGAGGCGATACTTCAATGGAATAACAGCAGTCCCGATCCACTCCCTGTTGGGTTTCGCTACCGGTACCAAATGACGCCAAAACAAGCTAGCTGGATATCCACTACCCCAAAGTTTGTTCTTTACTTCAATTTGGACCGCTGTCGGATCAAATTCTGTGCATAGGACCCTTACACGCTTAAACATTGATGAAGCAGTACTAGCTAATACCGATTTCGGATGGCCAGATGAGTAGCCCAAAACTGCCCTCAGTGTCGGCTGGCTTCTCGTATACTGTGTCTGTCTTTAGTTTCCCCCCGGACCTTATGCAGTCTAAAAATGCCAGTGTCACCGAGGTGGGTATGGGAATCCGGCTAAAGCTCTCCGTTCTAATTCTTCCGTAAATATATTAGCCAAAACCAAGGATGTTGGAGATCCCATTGCTAGACCTTGTTCTTGAGTGTAAACCACCGAGTCAAAACAACCAAAATTTACTATGTCAAGCAGTGAGGCTAATCGATTTTTTCTACAAAAATATCATATCGGAGTAAAACGGTAGAAGAAAGGCAGAAGAACAAGTGGAACGCGAAGTATCCATTGCCTTCAGCGGACTCAGCTTTGCGTGTCTGTCCAAAGAAGATTGCAGTTGTACACTGATAGACTAAAGTTGACGAATTCATCCAAACAACAGAAATGACACATGTTTTGCCCCTAATCAAGCTAGTCTTAGCAAACCCGTTCACCTTCGCAGTATAAGATCGGCTGCTGAGGTCTCAGTGAACAGTGACGGAAATCTGGGTATTGCAATATAGGAACTCCTTGGCGACCATAACGCTTGAGCTACGGCTCTGTGGCAGATCAGAGCGGGCATCTGAGCAAGCGTCAGAAAGCGCACACTGGTCACCAGACCTGTGACCGTTATACACAGAGAGATGTGTATTGTGAGCGGAAGGATAGGATCAGTTTGTATACTGTACTGTACTCAACTGTACTCAGTCAGTTGCAAGTGAGTTTCGGCATTGTTAACGCAACTGGTCAAACTCATCGATCGGTGAGCTTAACTCGGCACTGGTTTACTTGGTCACTTGGTCCAAGTCGGCTGGGTGACAGCTGGCCTATAGACAACAGAGATTTGAGATGTGAGCTGTGTGGGTGTAAGAGCATAAACTCAAAGTGACTAAAAAAAAGGAGGATATAAGTCCTGGTTCAGACTGGGTTCGTTCACTTTCACTGCTGTCAGGCAGTGCAATCTGTAATGTCAAAATGTGATTAGGATCTAAAGCCCTCAGTAGCAGCATAAATGAGAGATAACGGGAGGTACCGGAGTCCCGACAGTTTATTGTTTGTTCGTGCTGATCATATGACCGAAAACTGTTCGTCTTCATTACAAGGAGATGTGGGGAGAGAAGATAGGCTTCATCAACATCGTCGTCATCATCATCGACAGCATGACATCAGTGTTCAACACCGATGCTTCACTGCCGTACAACCATGATTTATTTGAAAGACTTAGTGTAAAGAAAAGAGTAAAAGTGGACGGGGAAGGACTTAGTGCTAGCTTACCACAATCATTCCGAGGTGCCTACACATCCAGACACCTACTCAGGTGATCTGGATAGAAACCGACAACAAGAACGCTACTGGCATCGGTTGGCAGCCATATCTTGTAGTGTCTCCAACCAGACACAGTGAGGAGCACGCGGTCCCCATCCTGGAAGGTGAGTAGCACCGACCACACCCAAGCGTTTCGTGGTCTCCTTCATAATCCTCTTCCAAGTCAAGGAAGAGGAGGCATGAAAAACAGCACGCTCTTTGGCAAATGATGGTTCGGCATACACAGCACATGTCCCAACCAAAGCAGCTTCCAAATCCTTGATGAATAGGAAGTTGTAACAATTCAACTTCGATCCACGCAGCATCCGTTCATTAATTTAAGAAGATAAATAGTCAATACCTCCCAAATCTTTCGGCCTTTTGTAGATTCCGTGAAACAGTTCGAGTTTGCAGTTCACGTTCCTAGATTGCATCTAATTCGGCTGCTGCGAAATAGAAGACAACTTTGATGTTGAACTGCATTCATGCATTTCCTGCGTCCGTATATTATTCCTTTGATATGCACTAGACATTGTGTTTGAGGAAAACTACTGAAGACCATGATGTCTTCTGAATGATATCCGAAATGGTGGTGCTACTGTTCCGGACGGAAAATCAATAACCTACTCAGCTCCTTAAAAGGACGAATTCATCATCTTGATGACAAAGCTTCTACCTCGGCGGACATGCTCCGCAAACAGGTACATCTGATTCCAAATTTTGAAAACAGCTTTATTACAGATGGCTTGACAATCCGCACCGGAAAACTCTAAGAGAGAATTGGGCTGATCGGTGTTTCGCCTCTATCTGTATGACCTTTGGTTATCGGCGAACTTGGATTGCACTGTCAAATAGCATTGACTAATAACTCTGGCATCGGACAAGAACTCACTCAACCTGCGGAAAAATGCAAAATAACCTTATTGGGATATACACTCGTTGGCTGTGAATCTCATACTTCCGATGCTTGTAGATGAGTGGTTCACTGGATTCCGCCAATAAGACCTTGTGAAAACAGGCTGGTTGAGGTACTGTTCGACCTTGCACTATAAGGGCACCCTAACTGACTCAGCTGATTGATAGGGCATAACGACTTACGTGTGGTAAGTTCACTTGCCGGGCGACAGAAGACTGAAACTTTCGAAAAACTCTCGCTTATACAGGAAACTGGGACGGGAGACTCAAATGATCTACTTCAACTGAATTTCGAACTATTCCAGAGACCATATGCATAGCGTGTTACGTCCAGACTAGAAACCTTGCCAAACTGTGGTTGCCACCAACAATTGGTCATGTGCGAGTTAATCACACCACTGACCAGTAGCTTGTGGCCGAAAAATCAACTTTTTAAAGTTCGAACCTCCCCTGAGTTGCGTCAGATGCACACTGCTGATTCATACTAACGTTAAAACAGTTCCATAGTGTTGCTCGGCTTTTCAGTAGTTTTTTATCGACGGAGTGAAATCTCCATTAACGTTAAAACAGTTCCATAGTGTTGCTCGGCTTTTCAGTAGTTTTTTATCGACGAAGTGAAATCTCAATTGGAAATCACCAGATCTACTCACACTACCGACATTTAGGTAATAAAGTGACGAAAATTCACCTATGTCTGGCCTCCAATAATACAAAGACAACCGACGGATTATTCCATAAACGATCAGCGACACAGCCGATCTTCATTTTATCTTATCAGATGGATTTCTAACGCTGGCGGGAGAGCAAGTGCAAAGTATTCGTGCTTCAAACGCAATCGCAGTAACAAGATCCTCTGATTCAGATATGAATGAGAAAGCTCCATTCATAATGGCGTTATTATAAGTGATTCATCAGCTACATTCGTTAAGAACACAGTTTGGTGTATAGACGTAATGCACTACTCATAAGGTCGCTGAAAATTCCTCGACAGCCCACAGCCGGTCTCGGGTGGGTGCTAAACACAAGTGACATGCTCGTCTGGTCGTTCGATCCGGCG